AAAGTGCTGGGATTACAGGCGTGACCCACTGTGCCTGGCTGGCAGGTTTCTTTATCTCTGTATTATAGATAAAGGAATAGGTTCAGAAAAATAAAGCAACTTGTGTCACACATGGGGAGAAAGGGACAGAATTGGAATGAGAGCCTTGACCAGACTCCAAAATCCATGCTCTTTCCACTTGGTCGTGCTGCCACTTCTAAAAGAAAAAGGGGAAGGATGATACCAGGGTGTCCTTAATTATATTCTTTTCGCTAATACTGTGCTATATACTTACTCAAATGATTACTGAGCTAATTAAGAATAGCTAAAAAGATTGTATATTCAAGCTCCATGAAGATTCTTCTAGCTTTGTTTTCTGTTGACTCTCTACATCCCACTGACCGGAGGTGTGTGGTGATGGAACATGGTTGTAAAGAATGATGTTCTTTTAAAGAGAAAAACTTCTGGGGGTTAGCCAAAATAAAACAGATAATGGTAGCATTAGCTGGTTGTTTATGCCTTTCCCCCACTGGATTTAAAGCCGCTCAAGGGCAGGGAACTGAATCAGTTATCTTTAAAGTTCCCAAGGTAGTGCAGCACAATACACCGTGTATGACATACTCACAAAAGGCTTGCTGAAGGAAATTAGCATTTATTATCACACTTAAATGTAAATACTTAGAAGGGGATGAGTTTTCTTCACAGAGGAAGTTGAGCATTACTACATTTCATTTGTTTATTCATTCATCTTTTATTGGGTGTTTGTTGAGTATCTGCTCTGTGCCAGACACCAGGACTACGAAGCTGAGTAAGATAGGATCTCTGCCATTTGTTGTCAGGGGCTTAGAGAATGGAGGCAGCCAGACAACCGTTTTAGTAGTGTGGAGCTAAAGGAAGTATATATTAACAAACAAACAAACAGTAGACTTCGGAGTCAGACTTTATCTGCCTTGGTTTCCTTATCTAAGAAGTGGAGGATGTTAAATGAAAAGTGTCTGTGCCTGTGTGTGTGTGTGTGTGTGTGTGTGTGTCTGTATGTATGTATCCTAGGACACAGCAGAAACGAGAGCCTCACTGTGGCTGAGGGGGTCAGAAAAGTCTTTATTGGGGAAGATGATGTTTGAATCTCATAGAATGAATTTTTGAGGCAAAGCAAGTCACTCATCTCTCTCCAGTTGTAAAGATCCCAGCACTTTTGGGGGCCAAGGCGGGTGGATCATCTGAAGTCAAAAGTTCAAGACCAGCCTGGCCAACATGTTGAAACCCTGTTTCTACTAAAAAAACAAAAATTAGCCAGGCAAGCTACTTGGCAGGCTGAGACAGGAGAATCGCTTGAACCTGGGAGGTGGAGGTTGCAGTGAGCCGAGATCGCACCACTACACTCTAGCCTGGGCAACAAACAGTGAAACTTTGTCTCAAAAAAAAGAAAAAAAAAAGATGAGTATGTTTGACATGTGCAGAATAGGTTGGCATGATGGGAGTGGTGGGACATTCTGTACATTCCCACATTCAGAGCTTACAGTTTTATTAGAAAGAACTGAATAAGCAGTTATTTTTCATTTTTGTAAGTAACAAAACAATAGAGTATTCATTAATTGTAACAGAAGAGAATAAAAAATATACCAAATCTGTTTAAGAATTGCATGAATCTTCTAGTCATATGGCTTTCTAAATATAGCTCTTTATGTAGCAAATAAATTCATGTGTTCTTTTGCAGTCCTGTGATACTGAAGTAATTATAAGGAATTCAGAAAGAGAACTTGCATGTTTTGGGTGACATTGGAGGTCCTGTTTCAAACCATTCTTATGTTTAGTAGCATAGCAGCAAAACAATGTAATGATCTATGAAGCCAGGATCTAGTCCTGGCTAGCTAAGCCTATCTAAAATTGATGTCTTAATGGACTGTTAGGCCTGTCTAAAATGCTAAGCCATAAACAGTTTCTGAACAGAGCCTGAGACATACTATTCAGGAATGTACTAAAAAACAGCTTGTTAAATGCATTATGTGCTTAATAAAAGGTCAGAGTTCTGTCATTGAAAAACTGTGATTTTAATATAAGGGGAGAAGAAAAAGAAAGATAGTGAGAATAAAAGATTAATAGAAGGAGGAGAAGTTTGTGCTTCAAAAACATGTTTCAAGTGCTTTATTGAGGGCTGTTGAATTATCTTTTGTTAGCGTCGGTAGAACAGTACTAACCTATTCCTAATTATGGAAATACATATATATTACTTAGATACTATACTAGTGTCTAAGGTGGAAAAACAAAGCTGCAAATAAAAATCCGTGTAAAATCTCTTAAAAGACACTGAATACAATTGATCTTCACAATAATTTTGACATTTAAAGTTGATGGTCATTTTAGACCTGAATGAACAATAAGATGATTTTAGGTACTCTTTTAGAATTTAAAGAAAGATATACTTTTGATGATAGAGATAGAAGATACATTTAACTGCTTCGCTAGTGAATAGTCTGTTACACTTTAAAATCTTGCTTTGCTTTCTGTTTCGGGGGCTTGGATTTGTTGAAATTCATTTTGTGAGCAACTTGGTAAATGGATGACTTCTCTTCTGTCTGGGCATGCAAACTCTGCATTTGATAGTTTCGTTATAGACGGAAGAAATGAAAACATCACCTCTAAGTAGATGTCCTATCTTTATTCCCGCCATAAAGGCCGAGCAGCTTGTTTATGTTTATATGCATGCGTAAGTAATCTCCAATTTCTCTTTGCAGTGTGTTTTCAAAACTTCAACTGTTTTGTGACAAACTATACGTATTTGGGAGTTTACAAATGTTATTCTTTAACCCAGGAATGTTGATTTTGAAACCCTGTCTTCAGATTGTGTTGTCTTTATTGTTTCAGTGTTTATCTGTATTGTCAGAACCTTCCTCGTGTTGTCTATTTTCAGAAAAGTCCTGTGTACTATAAACTGCAGTGTTATTTATTTATTTATTTTTTACACGTCAGGATCCTTTTAGTTGAGAGAACATTCATTTTGTCAGCAGTTCTTTTATTTAGCCCCTTTGCGGGGCCCTGTTAGATTCTGAATAATTTAACAGCAATGGAACCCTTACTGTGATAAAAATCTGGTCATCGGTCCAATACTTGTAGATTATTCACATGACACTCATGCATGCAGAGCTGTGGGTTCAATGCGTATGCCTGAAGAATGTGTCTCAGAGTGTTTTTAATCATTGTCGAAAATCGCCCTCTAAAGATTTTAGCGTGCATTAATTCTCAGATTTGCTTAAAGTATTACCACTTCTATTTTAAGATGAGTAATCCATGATGGCCAAGCCTGAACAGTAAGTGTAAGAAGAATTTGAAGAATTATAACTTCGTTTAAATTTAGGAAAATCAGGTCTATATTTTTTGTATGTTTATCTTTGCAGAATTACAGAATAAATTGTCTAAAGCATCATATTTCTTTTTAATCTATTTTTTTTACACTTCTTACCCAAACTGTTGAAACAAAAAGTATCAGCCCTAGTTCCTACAACATCCATATACTTTGTCTGCATTTCACATTTTTCAGCTTTATCTTGAGACTTGCTAACTTTCCATGGTGTTGTCAGAAAAAGTCTTCTGCCACTCTTGAAGTCCATGAATAGCCATGTGGGCTTTCCTTCATCACCCCCTTCCCCAGTTCTTTTCCTCCTTCCAGCTGTTTCTTCTCCTTTAGCTCTTTTCTGACGCCCTTTTTCAATGCTCAGATGGCTTTACTAGAAAAGTGGATTTTTTCATAACTTTGATAGCTTTCCAATTACTATTCTAACTCTTTCTCACTGCCTGGTGAGATCTCAGTCACGGAGAGAGAAGTCTGAATAAAAGAGACATTCATGGTGGTAATGACAGTGAAGGTTAAGTTTAAGCTGCTAGGCAGTTTGAAACAAAGGAGGGACTGAAGCTTGCATCGCCTTTACCTTATTTGGGTAGTAAGTAAGTGATTTTGGAAATAGTAAAATCTCATTATGAAGAGAGTGAAATCTAGTCCAGAATGAATGTGTTTACAGTGCTCAACTTTAATGGGAATGCATCTTAACACCGTTCAGTTTTTATACTGATTAGGAAGGCCCACCGTGGTTTTGTTCGTATATTAGAACACATGCTGCTGGGATTTTTGTGGGTTTTCTTTTTTGACATTTTGCTTTGTAGTTGCCCCTTATCACTGTAGGTAATTTTAGAATTTGAATTAAAGTATACCTTGAGTTATATAGTATAAAAAATAATTTTATATAGGCTACTCCATGGCATTGTAAAGAGTCTTAAAATAGATATAAAAGTCTCTTCATCTTACCTCCAGTGTCCTCCCTCCACCTATATCTGTTATCTCTAGGTCTTTCCATCTTTTCTCTCTGCCAGGCAGTTAATGAAATAGTGGAAAAATAATTTTGTCAGCTCTCATTGGAGTGTAGGATAAAAGACTACAAGCTAATGGCTACCAATTACATTTGTGTTATGTTTATAGTTTCCAAAGACATTGATGTAATCACGCTATCGTTATTGGGAAATATGAAACTTTCAATAAGATTCGAAACGAGTGGATACAGTGGTAAAATGATTGGGAAAACAGTGGTGATAGAATCTGATATAGAAATAGTTCGGAGGTAGCAGTAAAATAGTTTTGGTGATAGCAGGGAAACAGTAAAATTTCTCAAGAAACCTTAAGCCATTTTTACAAATACTGTGCTGTTCATGAGCCACATCTGGGGAACTTTGATTATATGCTGTAAGAAACAATATATTATTTGATTTAAGTGTATATTAAATAAGTATTCAATAAACAACTGTAAAATAAAAGACTGAGTTCTGAACATGGGAATTCCTGTTCTTGCAAGATTGAGCCAGACATTTCTAGCTAACATTGACTTTATTAGGCAAATGTGTACATCTGTTGGGTTTGGGGCATTAGGTATAACAAATGCTTGCTAATGCATAGAGACTCATCTAGGTCTGCGTTAGTTCCTGAGAGAGTGGATGTGAACTTCAGGGGAAGGCTTTGAGATTAGGTCACTCACCTAAGCCAGCTGCTTTTTTCCGTCTTTCAAAAGAGTACCAGATTGCTCCTTTGAGGGGCCGACTTGAGGACATGTAAACTTTCAAGGCTAGAGAAATTACTTTAGCCAGAAGTGTACTGTTTTCCCCTGAAATTACATTCAAAAGCTTCTAGCTGTGATCATTTCAGCTGTTTCTTCCTCCCTTTCTAATTATCCTTGCTATTTCTGTTACTGTTATCAACCATACCAGTCACTGGAAAGGAAAGTACTTGGGCAAAAATTTCTTTTAAAAGAAAAATTGTAGGAGAGAAATGTGTACACAAATGCATATTGAATATAATAAAGTACCTATTGAACTGTGCTTTGTATGTGAAGGTGAGTTTTGTTTGTGGTAGTGCTGTTAGATCTTGTTTGATTCATTTCAGCTTTTTCCATTGTTCTTTCTTGTGATACGCATATATGAGGTTGGAATTTTGCTAAATCATTATCAGGCCTATTGGTTTAATGAAACCCAATCTAGTTTCTGGATCTAACAGTCCTGGACATATACAGCTTTACCTAATAGAAAATAATTTGGTTTCAGTTAATGAAGTTTATCTGTCAATAAAGAAATATTAAATAAGCGCCTAGTAAGAGCTAGTACTAAATAATGAGAATACTCTGACAAGGTAGACAACATTCTTATCCTTACTGACTGTGCGACGTTAGACGCATAAAAACAACAGAAGCATCAGGTTCTAGGTAAGGGCTTAAAAATGTAGAAAACAAAGGATAATCTTTTTGGCTTTCCCCCTCTCTTAATTTCTATTCACAGTTTTTCCTATTCAAATGCAAAGATATTCATATTTTGATTGTTTTTCTACATATACTGATACTGAAGATTTATAAAATGAGTCTGTTTACAAATTACATGTATTTTACAATTTTCCACAAAGGAACATTGGTTATTTATGAACTCTGGGGAAAATTACAGTATACCAGTACTCCCTTTGAAAGACTCTAAACTATTAAGGTCAATTTAAGATCAGACTAGCCAGACAATTGTGGTTTAGGTCATTTTTATACACAGTATTCAGTATTTTTTCCTGGAAACTTTTGGGAGTGAATAATCCATTATTCATAAAATGAAGTCATATTTAACACCTTAGGCTGATTGCAAAGTGTTAAGCCTTAGAGATGGGGAAAATTCTATTGTCTTGAATTTTGAATGTGGGTAACTTTAAGACTGCCATATGAATTGCCAAGTTGCAAAATTGTTTTTGTGTTTCACTTGCAAGCAAGAAAAATGTAGACTCCTCCTTCCTTAGTGGAGCCAAGTGCATTCTAACACACCTCTCAAATTACACACCATTGAACTGATACTCACAATGGGTTTGGCTCATGTGTTTCTAGTTAGCTACTATGAATGAAAGATTCATAACTATCTGTTTCAAAAAACTTCTTTATTTGCACTGCAGGGAGCTTAATTGTTTGTTAGCAGGGTCAAGAATTGCTTTTAAATGCTGAGTTAGCATGTATGGGTTGGGCCATTATACACTGAACTAAAAAAAGATTTCTATGCACAAAGAAGGCTTTAGATAAATATTTGTCAAATCTTTGATTACTTTGTTGGCTGTGGAAGAATAAAAGTCCCTGAGTTTTCCCACCTTCTTGGTAATTTGGACCAAATATTTTGGTCAATATTATTAAAAAACCCCTATAAGCTTTCCCTTATGTTGCCTGTTGAGCACTGTGGAACACAGGATGACAGGGAGGAGGAAGTCATTCATACTTACCAGACAGATGGTTGGCATCCCCGTGGCAACCTTGTGATCTAATAATTTTCCAAGTTCTGTCTACGTAACTGAAGAGCTGTTTACTCTTTGCTTAAATAAAACTAGGCCTGTATGCAAGTTGGCAGTGGGTGAGGTGAAGGAGGGGTGGTGGATATATAAATTCACCTCTGCCGTTGTACCAAATCTGTAGCACACAAGCACTTCTTTTCCAACGAAAAAAATTATTAGTTCCTCATTTTGGTTGTTCCTTCTTATTTGTGGCTCAAGCAAACTATTCCCAGAGAATCTTTTTTTAAAAATTGATGACACTCTAAGAATTAGTTATTTCTGAAGAATTTTTTTCAAAGGTAGTGTTTAAAGATATTGGTAAAAGATGGTGGAATCATTTTCCTGCTTTGTTGTAGCAAAGTAGTTTGTACATTTCTGGTGACAGTTCTTCCATTATCCAAAGAAAATGAGGCTTTAAAAATTTTTTTAACAAATATTTATGAATGCATATAATTGATTATGTTTATTAAAGTCACAAAAGATTTCTAGCCTTTCTTATAAATTTTATAAATTGCTACTGCAAAAATGAGAGAGAATTATAGTTACCACTGTGAATTATTTTTATTTTGGTCAGACATTGACTTTTCCTGATTGCCACCTTGTCACTCTGTGTACTAGACACAGAGAGGAACTTCTTTCTTCTCCCTGTGATATGCTTTTGATTCATGTCATATGCTGTCAAAATATTGTTGCCCTGCGATTATTTTCTGGAGTGGTAAAACTGATGCGGACGATGTCAGCTAGACTTGTTCATATCATGTTATTCTTTCTAATAAGTACTTGTACTTAAAATACTTACTTGCTTCTACTGCATCATGTCTCTCTTCCTATCCCCAAAGCTTTTTTTTTTTTTTTTTTTAAATCTCACTCCATTATGTCTTGAAGGGGCTGGTAAACCCAGTTCTAAAATAGTTTATATATCTATCTCCCTTTAACACATCATTGGTCCCATGCATATATCTAATACCAGACTGTATCAGGGTATCCCCATTCATTTCCTTCTTCTTTTGAGGATGGTTGAAATTTTGTGGCTTCATGATTGCCTTCTAATTTTCAACTTGACTTAATCCAGAGGATAGTAAGATAATAATTAATAATCAACATTAATAACATTAGAATCTAATTTTAATAATTCTGGCCTCTATTGCAAAATGTATTATGGAGTCAGTTTAAAATGTGATTCTTCTCTCTTATATTTACCTCTGTTCAAGTGAGTATATAGTAAGCTCTTGCAGTTTAAATGTGTCTTGGTGAGATATTCTGCATATATGGAACATAGTCTCTTAACATCCTGTTGCTGCTGCCTTATTTCTGTCTCGTTTCCACCTATGATTCTTGAAGAGAAGCTTAATGTCTATGGTTTCCTCTTCACTTCTGCATTATTCAGCCCACTGTGGTCTGGCACTGAGCTTATGTCTGTAGGTCATCTGCCATCTTCTAAAAGCTAAACCAAAAGGAAAATGTTTAGTTTTTACTTGATTTTGCTGTATCATTTACCTGTAAATTCTTTGAGAACATAAACTATGTTTCGTTCACTAGTGAATTTTTACCATCTAGGGTTTCTGGTACTTTGTTGACCTGTCTATTAGCTGAATAAATGTGTGTTTGTAATGATTTTTGCCTTCTTTTAAATAAAAAGAATATTCTCTTCCTTTGGCTCTGGTGGTGGTACTATTCTTTCCTGATTAACATCTCCCTCTGCTTTGTTATTCATCTACACTTAAGTGTTAATTTAGAAGCTCTGCTACTTGGGATGGAATAGGTACCCAAATTCTCACTAAGTGAAAGTCTCAAGTCAGTTCTAGCACCATCTGTCGGCAGCACTGGGTGCCTCAGTTCATGGTTTTGTGCATTCTCAGACAAGTTGAAAAGTTTCTAGATTTTTCTGGAATTATTTTCTCATCCCTCATCTCATTTCATGTTACATCCTAAGTTTCATTCTCTTCTTAGGTGACCTCAGTGTTTCGTTTAGAACAGTTACTCTCCGTTCTTGAGCTGATGCCTGTTTTTTTTTTTTTTTTTTTGAGACGGAGTTTCACTCTTGTTATCCAGGCTGGAGTGCAATGGCGCAATCTCGGCTCACCGCAACCTCCGCTCCTGGGTTCAGGCAATTCTCCTGCCTCAGCCTCCTGAGTAGCTGGGATTACAGGCACGTGCCACCATGCCCAGCTAATTTTTTGTATTTTTAGTAGAGACGGGGTTTCACCATGTTGACCAGGATGGTCTCGATCTCTTGACCTCGTGATCCGTCCGCCTCGGCCTCCCAAAGTGCTGGGATTATAGACTTGAGGATGCCTCTTTTGCGAGCTCTATTTATGACAGAACCTGAATATCAAACAGGCCTCTTAGATATCATGTTTCCCAAAATAAATTTGTTGCTCTCAGTCGGCCGCCTCATTTCTTTCTGTCCCTCTACCTGGAGTGACTTTTATCCAAATGACCACCTTAGAAATCTGTATTTTTTCTGGACTCTTTCTTACCCATTCTTCTGCCCCACCTTTATGTGATCAGTCATCAAATCTTTTTGATTCTTACTTGCAAATGGCTGACACAGCACTCTCCTTTTCCATCTCTCACTGCTAGTGATGTTACTACCTTGCTTAAAATTCTTCAGTGGTTCCTCATTTGCTCATTAGAGTGGTACAAGTGAAGGCTGTCTGTGAAGGAGCCCCTTCTTTCCTTTCCAGTTACATTTTTCTTTTTTCTTTTTTCTTTTTTTTTGCTCTTTTACTCCACACATGCTGTAATAATGGGAATTCCCCGGACACACATAGCTTTACTCTTCTGTAAATTTGCATATACTGTTCCCTCTGTGTGGAGTTTCCTTTTTGTCAACCTCATCTTATGGCAAACTACTCATTATTTTATATTCAGCTTAAAGATTGCTTTCCTAGAAAAAAATTAGTCATCGCTTCTTTGTGCCCAAATTATAGAATCTCATATTAAAGTAGTTACTATGTTGCTTTTTATGGGTTACTTGTGTTTCTCTCTCACCAGTCTGTGAGCACTTGGAACTAAGGAATGTGTCTAAATAATCTTTTGTCTCTTGTCCCTTAGCACAATGATGGCTGTACAATATATACTCAGTTTTGTTTTTTTTTTTAAATATTTGCTCAATGAATGAATGGTTAAAATGGTTTTTGATGCTGGTGAGATTCTAGTCCCTGATCTACATATAAACAAACTATGATAGAAAAGCTGAGCAGAATTCATTCACTGTTTGACCATTTAACTTGCCTTCTTTCCTAGCACATCTGAAGGTAAAATTGTG